TGTGTGTGTGTGTGTGTGTGTGTGTGTGTGTGAGAGGTTCCTAATGCAGTGAACCAGGAATGACTACAAGGAAGTTATCTTCAACCTTTATAAATTACTGGCAAGGATTCAGTTTTACTTATTACTCATTAATGGGATGTAGGTATGTAGGAGCACAAACACAGTGGGGCTGACTCTGTGCTGTGAACACTTTGTCATAACTGAACAGGTCTTTGGAAGAGCCAGCAGGGAACTGACAGGCTGAGTGGTCTCCTTCTGTGCTATAACATTCCATGGTTCCCAACTCACCTTTCACTTTTATCCCATTTGGAATTGTTTACAGGAAACAGTCTCTGGACTTCCGCTCATTCATCCGGATCTTGGCATGCTTCCGACCCACGGTAAAGAACAAGTTAGCTGATCCCAATGCACCAGAGCCAATTAATAGTCGAAACAACAAGCTGCGGTGTGAGTACACTTTTACCAGATCTCCGTGACCTGACTGCATCCTCACCCCGAGTGATGTTTCCAGCTTCAGCCTGAGCCAGACCTGTTTGCTGACAGCCGGCCTTTACATTGACCTTTTAGCTGCTCCTGCTGTATTGATCACAGATAAACCCATCTCTGATCACTTCTGTGGATCACTTTCCACTCATGTTGCTTTCCCAACTTTCCTCTCTGTAGCGAGGGGAAAGCTCTCTGCCAGTATCAACAGCGTTTTTAAACTCCTGACTACCTAGCTTCTGGCTCCCTCTCCACCACTTCTCTGCAGATACTGATTTGCTTAATCATAGGCTCCATCTCCACCTTTTAACGTCTTCATCTCCATTGAACCATTACTCTCTGTCTCCCTCGTCCATTTCCCAAAATATCACCTTTTCTGCCACTTACAAGGGCCGCAGTCTTGAATAGTTATAAAAAAAGCAAGTTCAGCCATTCATTGCCAAATCTGGCTGATCCACTATTGGATTCTGCACTTGTCTGCTTAAACCGTTCACTGTTCCACAGTCATCCTGGAATGGCAGCATTGTAGCTCAGTGGTTAGTACTGCTGCCTCATAACGCCAGGGACCCAGGATTGATTCCACCCTCAGTGACTATGTGGAGTCTGCACGTTGCGTCCATATCTGTGGGGTTTCCTTTGGGTGCTCCATTTTCTTCCCACAGTCCAAAAATGTGCAGGCTAGGTGGATTAGCAGTGGGAAATGCAAGGTTATAGGGATAAATTAGGGGTGCGTGGGCTGCTCTTTGGAGGGTTGGTGTAGATGTGATAGGCCAAATGGCCTACTTTCACACTGTAGGGATTCTACGAATGCAATGATAAACCTGTGCCACAAATGATCTTCTGAAACTTTTTAAAAGTTTGTTCATGAGATGCGGGTGGCATTGGTGAGACCAGTGTTTATTATCCATCCTTAATTAGCCTTGAGAAGGTGTTGGTAAGCTGCCTTCTTGAACTGCTACAGACCATTTGGTTTAGGTATGCCCACAATGCCCTTCGAGAGGGAGTCCCATGATTTTGAACCAGCGAGCCTATAGGAACAGCGATACATTTCCAAGTCAGGATGGCGAATGGCTTGGAGGGGAACTTGCATGGAGTGATGTTCCCATGTATCTGCTGCCCTTGTCCTTGTGGATGGTAGAGGTCATGGATTTGGAAAATGCAGCTTAAGGAACCTTGGTAAATGACTGCAGTGCATTTTGTAGATGGTACACACTGCAGCTATGTTTCAGTGGTGAAGGAAGTAAACTTTAATAGTGGTGGATGGGGTGCCGATTAAGTGGGCTCCTTGACCTGGGTGTTGTTAAGTTTTTGAATGTTGTTAGACACAATTCATCCAGGAAAGCAGGAAGTATTCTATCATACTCCTGATGTGTGCCTTGTAGATAGTTGACAAGCTTTAAGGAGTCAGGAGGTGAGTTACTCGCTGCAGAACTACCAGCTTTTGGCCTGTTCTGTACCTTTATCTTTCTGCTGTGATTTCCATTATTCTGGGGAAATTGGTATTTTTATCAGGCGTTATGCCTTTAAAATACAACTTCTGAATTTTAAATGAAATTTTAAGGGACAATTACTGCATTTTATTGCAGTTTATATGTTTACTGCAAGGGAAGAGTCAGATGTTGAAGAATTAATGCCATTTGGATCACAATTAGTATCCTAGGATTATTTTCCGTTTTAGTTAATGACACGATGGTTGTCTATGAGCTGTCAATCATTTTTATCAATCCCAGTTGGGGCCACTGCATTTCACTGATTTGTGCTGCCTGCAGTATGACCTTGCAGTACACAAGAGGATCAAATGATATTTTGCATTGAGCTGGGTTGTGTTTAAATGACTGTGACAAAGGGCATGGATCACAGGATCCTGACACAATAGATCTTGTCATGTTCAGTTGTACAGTGTTTGATTGTTTGAGCCTGCTTACTGATCCAAGCTCACTGCATTTGATTGGTTAAGCCTGGTTGTTGACTCAGAGCAAAGTAAATAATACCATAGAAGTATTGAAAAGCTGAGTGCAGATATTTTGTCATGGTGCAGACATTTTCAATTTGGTAATCAAAGCTCCTGCTCACATAGAAATTTATGTCATTACATGACTGATTAAATGAATAGAAAACAGATTTGCACTTTCAATATTTCCAGCTAAATTCTTTTCACCTGCCTGGAGGGACATGAGAGAGCATTGCTCATGGTATCCACTGGAAAAGGAAGTTGTGAGAATTCCTGTCCTCAGGAAAGTGTGCCCTGGGGTTGTCATCACTCTCTCAGTCCCCCAGGTTGCTATGTGAATGCGTGAACAACCTGAATGTTGAGCAGAGTTAGTGTCGATGACTGTTCTAGACACCAGTGACACTTGTCTAGTCACAGTGTGATAATGTACATCAGCCTTAACAAGCTGTAGCTGATTTTACCTCGCTTCAACCAGCCTTTTCCTTCTTATTTCAGTTGCTTTCCAACTGTATGACTTGGACAGAGATGGGAAAATCTCCAGGGAGGAACTTATTCAGGTAAAGTCTGCAATGAGACTGCAGTGACATTTGGAAATCAGGATAATGCCTCTGCCCAGTAAGCTATCAAAGCAGCAGCTTTCTTTGGCATCTGTCTCAGTAGGGATTCCAACTTTTGCTACAAGTTGTACCACAGTCACCCAAGCCATTAACAAAGATGCAAATCATATAATGGGCTTTACTTTGAGTGGGTTAGAATTGATAAAATTAGGAAGTTGTACTAAACCACACCTGGAGTGCTCTGAGCAGTGCTGGTTGCCATAATATAAAAAAGGTATAGTCACTGGAGAGGGTGCGGAGAAGATTTACAATGACAATACCAGAAATACGTGGGCATAAATATCAGGAAAGATTTGTCAGACTGGCTTTCTCTTATTTTGAGAAAAGATGTTGTTTAAAAATCTGCAACGTTTCGATCGAGTGGATGTTTCCTCTTGTGGCAAAGAGCGGGACTAGAGGCTGTCAATATCAGATAGTCCCCAAAAATTCCAGCTGGGAATTCAGGAGAAATGTCTTCACCCAGAGAGTGTTGAGTGTATGGAGCTTGTGGTTGAAGTGAATCATATTTAAAGAGAAACTAGATCAGGAGATAAGGAATAAGGGAATAGAAAGTTACAATGGGAGATCTAGATGGGAAAAGATAGAAGGAGGCTCAAGAGGAGCATAAATACTAGCATGAGTTGTCTGTGCCAAATGGCCTGTTTCTGCACTGTGTACCTTGTGTAATCCTGTGTGTGCATACAGGGGTTGGAGAGACGTATTGGATTGAGTTCTTGGCAGGGCTCAATCTCTAGACAGAGGGTTTCAGCACTACCAAAGGAGTTAGTCAGAGATGCTCTAGCTCAGCTGGTCATGTTTTTAAACCACATCTC